AGAAGGTATGTCTTTCTTTCATGGGTGTGTTTTCAATTGCTGTATCTGATTTTTCTCGCAGGCCTTGTATGTTGCTCGGCGGCCAGAACGGGTTAGCGACAAGGTGAAACGCATCAAGAATCCTACGTGGTGGACTCGTGTTGTGTTATTCATCTGCTGCGTGCCTCCTCCCAAGGACGACAGTCATTAATGGAGATGCTGCACATACACATCGATTTCTATCTCAGTATCTAGTTCCCTTTTTTCTCTCACCATAGTGTATCTTTCACCATCCCATCAAATATCATTCATTGACGCTTCACATCCTAACTCGCCTGTATTGAAATGGTGACGTGCTTTGCACAACAGTCGATGAAGATTATCCAGCCTAGAGGAGCTCAGCGTCATGTGAACTTGCATATCAAAATGTTCGTTTCAGATGCATGCTGGACACTGGCATCCAGACCCAAGCTTAGCCGACTTTCTGTGGGTCCTCGAGCGCTACACTCCGCATATGTGTTCATGCTTCTGTGAAGGACATAAGCGAATCTACTGCCCTGTTCGTTCGTACCACATCAAAACTGCCCTGCAAGTCGCTAAAGTCACTGCAGATCTAACTAATTTTCGATGTCAAAGTTCGCTCGTTTCCAGCCCAGTCAAACTTAGATCATTGTGTTCTGGATAGCTCTTACCCATCACTTCACCTTCCACTTGCCGGCATTGATGGGAGGCATACAACATCAACGTGGCACTCCATTACACCCTGACCGTCGCAAAACCATCACTGATGAGAAGGCTCCTACATACAGGCAGCATGTGCTGCGGTATTGTTCATTCCCGTCTTCTGACCGCTATGACTGTATTCCAATCATTTCTATCTATTTCTGGACTTGTATGTCTTGCACCGTGTACTTTTCGTTCCCCCGGATTTATGGCGTTTTACAGTCTCCACACACACTCAACCTGGCAAGGCCACCCATCTGACTAGACAAAATTCGCTTTCAGCACTGTAATCGTTTCGTTTCATCTCCTCATGTGATTAAGCTGATTCTGCGTGAACGCGACACGACATTTATCGCGTCTGTCAAGCTGAAAATTTACCATCGCAGTAACAAATCTGACCAGTCGTGTTCCGATCGACAGATCAGCTACGTCTCCACGCCCAAACCGTTACCAGAGGGTGCACAGGGCGCACGGCATATCCCATTGGCACAAGGGCAATATCTGGTACGTCAACACCCTATAGCGTTTGTATTAACACATGTAGAGATACTAAGATACGATAGGTGCCCACCATACCAAACGAGTCTGTACAAACGGCAAGTCTTGTACTTAACCATGTGCGTAGTCGTATTTACTCCTCGTCCGTGACTAGAGCATGTTCAGGTATTTACTCACGAACAGGTGATCCAAACTGTATCCCATGTTCTGACTGCTATCGAACAGGTCTAAACCTTGCGTCTCTGTTCATCTCCTGTGTGATGTTGCTTGATATCAAAGCGAGAACATGCTATTGCTAGAGCACTCGGCAGAACGACGGTTCGATCTGGTAGGCTTGGTGATCTTGGGCAGAACCTGCTTACTCAATGTCAATAGTCACCCAATATCGTTCGATGCATCATTTGTCAATTGACAATGCATTGCCAAAGCTATGTTGTCAAATCGGGCCGTCTGCGTTTGACCATGGCCTGCGATCTCATTTGCCAGGACAATGCCTTGATTTTCCAGCAGTATGGGAATCGCTTCTGCCGGCCCCGAAGGACGGTCCATAAACTGTTTGAGCAGTCCCAGGAACATGCAGGCGTTTATCCTATCTGACAGAAGGAGACTCGGCGCTTTGTGAAAATGTGTTGAAGGTACCGAAAGGGCTGACGGGTGGGGTACACAAGTAGGTTTCGAAATTAGATATTGCGTAGCTTCTTTGAGGATCAATTTTATACAGAATAACTAGCGCAATAATCTTTGGGTCTCGTAGAACACAATGTTCGAGAAGGCAATGATCGTCTCGTGGAGTTAGTTGACGTGTGCAATCTGACGCACATCAATCAACTCCACGTGGATGATCGAAGAAGAGGACAGTCGTCAAAAAAGATCGAGCGGGCTAAGGAGATATGAGAACCCCTTGATGTCTGGAGTGCACCGCAGATTCACACAAGAATTATCGTGGCTAGACGAGCGTCGTAGTTTGTTTTGCCCCAGCAGAGGTTGCTGGCTGGGTTGGCATCCCATTCGCTCCTCTTGACAGCTGGAACTGTCGTTTACCATCATTGTCTATACTAGACCTTGGAGGAATACAGACATGGCAACACGTCACACGTCCTACGAGGTCGATGCGAAATAGACAGGTTGGCAGGAAATCGTGAAGAAAATAATGGATCGTGCGGCAGGTCATGACCGTCGAGATATATAAATAATAGGAAGATGCACGTGGCGCCAGTTGCGGTCCCGGGCACTTCGCCTGCACGGCACATTTACTTGAAGCTGTGAAGATAACACGAGGATAACGCACCTTAGTAGACGACCTCGTGCAACTCTCTCGACTTCAAACCAAACATCCACTTCCTCAACTATAAGTTCATCCCTCTCGTTCTTCTGTGGAGTTAGTCTGCGTCGAGGTCTTCTGAGTAGTACCTGCAGTGAGTGTTGCTCTGAGCGCTTCTGTCAGCAATGGCTGAGGTAAGAAACAAGGACACTGACCAGACTCTGGGATCTAGAAAGATCTCCTGCGAGCAACTCCTGCGCATACATCTCAAAGCCGCCGAGTGCACAGGCTTGAATTCTTCTAAACAGGACCTCTCGTAAGTGATTCCTCATGCACTTCTATTAGCAGATATTCAGGTGGTCACAGATACGCTTGTCCATTCACCAGAAGTCTTGGCACTTTCAATACAACGGGAACCCGCAATAAATCAAAGACCACTCCAGTGAACTGCTCGCGCAGCCATATTCGACGATTGTCCTCGGTGGAGACCCTGAGTACCGACCATGGCGTCCCACGCTACCAAGATGGAAAAGACGTCAGCGATAAAGCCCCGGCGGACCATAGAAGGCCATACCGACGTGGTACAAGGTGTTGCGCACCTGCCCAGCGGGCAGCGCATCATCACATGTTCGAGAGACGGCTCGCTCCGATTATGGGATCTGGAGAGCGGTGCACAGATTGGCGAGGACTGGCGAGATGAGGGGATTGAAGCGGGAGCAAGTACCATCGCATTATCTCCAAACAGCAAGACTGTTGCAAGCGGAAGTAGGGATGGGACAGTGATGTTGTGGGACGTGGAGACAGGGAAAATCATCGCCAAATGGACAGGACACGCTGAATTCGTGAGTTCAGTGTGCTGGAGTCCAGATGGTGAGCGAGTTGTGAGCGGATCATACGATGGGACGGCAAGAGTGTGGGATGGTGAGAGCGGCGAACCCGTTCAGGGTCTGAATCCAATCAAGACGGGGCACAACTGCGTGTGGGCAGTGAGCTATTCGCCTACCAGCCAAATGATTGCAACAGGAGGATACAACGGGGGAATCAAAATCTGGGACGCCAAGACGGGCAAGTTGCTCTCCACAATCGAAGACAGGCAAGCTTGGAGCGTTGCCTGGACATCTGATGAAAAGAAGCTTATCTCCGGGATGGGCGGTGGCTCAATTAGGATATTCGACACTGCCACATGGCAGCAGATCGCTGTTCTAGAAGGTCGTACAAACGATATCGATCACGCCATCACATTATTTCGGAACGACCGTCTTCTTGTGAGCACATCATTCGCCGAAACAGCGCGTCTGTGGAATCTCGACACGAATCTCCCGGTCGGTCCACCACTCAAGCATGAAGACGACGACAAATATATGGCAGGTGCAGCCTTTTCCGCTGATGGAAAACTGCTCACAACTTGCTACCGCAAAAACGTGTACGTATGGGATGTTCACGCCATCCTACACGAAGCTGGCCTCCAAGATCTACTGTCTATACCCAATGTGAGTGTCAACATATCACCACTCTGTTCAAAGTCCTGACAGTGTCCACTATCAGGCACCAAAAGACAAGGTATGCATCATCTCTTGGCTCTTCACCAATAGAGCATGCTAATCTCCCACTCGCAGAAGTCCTTGTTAAATGTATGTCATGCCTTTGTTCATATTTTCTACCATTGTGATGTGATGGGTATCTAGGCTGATGCTACGCGGCGTCCAACTCCCCGTCGACTGCAACCAGGCTTCTTTGATGGCGCCCCAAGCCGTGCTCGGGTGCGTCACCGCCATCTCGTTTTATTCTTTTTTCTGACCTGTATGCTCTCAGCCCTCCGCTATGGGTCTCCACCCTCATCCACATCACCACTTTGCATCATCCTCGGGGTCAGGTCCACGTGCATTCCTCAGTCGCCTTCCCTCCCTTTTCCGCCGTTCCCAACCCAATGTTGATGAAGCGACTGAACTCCAACAACGCCCAAGGCAAAGCATCCCCTCTCATCACAGCCCTCCTGTTGTCGAAGTTGCTCCAATACGGGATAAGCAGGTATGTCTTTTTGGGTGTGTTCCAAACGGCTCGTGTCTGATGATTTCCCTCCAGGCATTATATGTTGCTCGGCGGCAGGAAAAAGCTCCGCAGGGGGAAACAGCTAGTGACAGAGCCAGACGCATCCAGAACCCCAAATGGTGGGTTCGTGTGGTGTTGTTTCTCTGTTGTGTATCTCCTGCTCCCGACGACGGTCATCGCGCCACATAGAAAACATTCATCTCAGCATGTATTTTCCCTTTCTTTGTGATCCTGTTGTAATATTTCTCGATATCCCATCAATACCATCCATTGATGCCTCACATCTTGTGCGTTGCTGGTAGTCTCATGTTCGGCCTAGCACGAGCTCATAGTCGGTTGACTGCACCCGACGAGTGCGACAAGTTGAAACTGAGTATCGCGGTTCAGTTTTTCTTATTCCAAGTCAAGTTTAACAGACTTTTTCGTAGCAGTTCAACCACACCAACTGTTGGTCCTGCATGGTTTGATTCAGCACGATTCGTCACTCATTGTATTCAACTCCAAGCTTCACAGCCATGAAGACGCGGCAAAGGATTGTACTCGAGGCCCTTGCTATTTACAGATCTATGCTGATATCAAATCGCAGAAGACGATAATGGCCACTAGACCATGGCTGCTTCGCTGTGAGAGCAGAGACTCCATCTCCCACTGCAGGCACATATGCAATGGAGGTGGAGACTATCGAGATCTGCAATGCACCGCATGATGCGAATCCCTCACAAGTAAGCCAGTTTTCCAGACGACGTTACGAATCTCATGTGAGGTGGACTCGACAGAGTTCCGGACGAATAGGGCCTCCCATTCTCCAGAGCTACCGCTCATCCTCACTTATCTCTTATGCGAATTCACAAATGTACATACCCCATCGAAAGGCGCTTTTGCCTGCTTGGCGGTACACAGATCGTCGATCAATTCATGCGTTCTGGTATACGACTTACGAAAAAATTAAACAGTACCGAAATTTACAAGTCTATTGCTGGTGATGCAAATCGACTTCGAGACCACGGGTGCTGTGAGACTCAACTATCAGGATGCAGAAGCCAAAAGCATTCCCTGCTCATCTTCCAGCACACCTAAGACTGACACCTTTCACTGTACGTCTCGCACCTACCTCGGTCCTTCCTACCACTCATGTCTAGTCATCATGTATCAGTCGTTTGTGGCAGTAAGATAATCACCTCGAAACATAGTCCCAAAACCCTAATGTTGGACTTCACAAGAGCAGGTCGTCGCCAATATAGATAGCGTCCTGGAAGCTATTATCGAACTCTGTACGTTATATCACGTACGGCATCCTTGGAGGGTTTACCTTGCCTGTCACGTCGACGTCTATATCATCATATTGGCGTTCTCGACAACGTCAAAGCCTCTCGCAGGAGCAGTTCGAGTTTCAGCCAATCGAGCTGAGAAGTGATGAGGTGCTGTATGGAGTTATTGGAGCGATAGGTGTGTGATTCGACCATTTGAATGTTCTTTGGATAGGAAATGAAAGTTTGAATGTGTCGCATCCAGGAAATACCCCTTTGGTGAGGATTAACTCGTGATGATTTGGGAGTTGAGATTCTCGGAAAAGCCGAGGTGAGTTTCGAGTCAGCCTTCCCCTTCAATGTCTCCAACATGGCGCCATCTGTAGTTCGTGAACCCTGGAAGGAGTGTCAAGGACCGAGTTGCTCTGCTAAATAAGTTATTTGCGAAGCAATTGACCTGGATCTCATTGCTTCGTGATGTGTTCAAGTAACCGAGGGTGCAGAGCGGCAAGGTTTGCTGCACCCTCACATTGGATCCCGCATTTTTGAAGGCACTGTTGGATCTACTGGTATCTCAATAGCAACGATAGCGAAAGCAAGTCAAGTAACCCTAGTTCTGGTGCTGGAATGTGCTCACCTGATAGCATGATGTTGCAGGGGATATAATACAAGTACGCAATTTCCTCGAGCTTTCTGACCCATCTCACGTCTCTTAGCGATTATCATGCCAGACGATGCAGCAAAGGAGAATATGAATGCATTGCAGGCCCTCGGAGCTGATGTCTAGCACGTTCGTCCCGCAAGCAGCGTCGACAAAAAAAACAGGTGTGTGAGCTTATATGGTGGCCACTCACTTTTTGTTTACCACCTTTATCATGACAATCGCAGTACGTGGTGAGAAATCTTTTTGTCAAGTGAAATTATGCAACGACATCAAGATCGGACTAGCCCAGAAATCTGGCGCCAAACCAATGGTCACGTTGATGCATTTGTATCTAGAGCAAGTGCCCACTGACTTACTTTTCCAATACTATGATTGCAGGTACTGAATGGCTTCTCAAATAGATGGATGTCGGGATACGGTTGTCCTAGCGGACCCAGAAGGCAGTGGTCTCTATAACAACGTCGAAGCCTGTCTTTGTTGGCTACCTGACAATATCTCATGCACATTCAGGTCAGGCACGGCGTAATGTACGCCCAGAGAGAAGCTGAAGGCACCAAACGAAGGCATCAAGTTGACACAGTAGTCGAGGGGACGTGCGTATGCAAATATCATTTGTAATTCCCATCTGAATTATCTCTGTAGAGAAATCGACCGGACGACGAACAACATCGACCCTGCGCTCCTGATTATAGATGACACGTTCCGGTGCGTCAAGTTCTTGACCTTGTATTATAATGGGAGCTTATCGATGACAAAGGATAACTGACGTTGAAGCCGTCGCCATGTCCCGATACCTCGTTCAAAATGACGACCTATTTCTGGGCTCCAGCAACGCCTGCAATTTGGTGGCATGCATCAAATTCGCAAAGATAAATGGCTGGCGGGAAGGCCAAACACTTGTCACGAGCTTGTAGGTTCTCGGAAAACCCCGTGGAATGATCGTAACTCACTGTTATCCCAGGTGCGACTTTGGTAATAGACATTACTCCAAGGTAAGTGCACGATATCCTGAGAAGATCGTCTATAACGTCTCTGCATCTGGGCCCGTCATCAGGTCTGGCGAGTAAAAATTCTTTCGTCTGGAGATTCGCTGACGTGTGTAGGAACGATGGTTACTTGCGTAAAGCTAATACCCTAGTCGACCGCAGTCTAATCGATGATCTGATCGCCCAACCTGGTTCTGGAGTTTTTTTCACCTCAATAAAGTATCCGAGTGCTATGGTACAAATGCTACTTCATGAAGAAAACAACGGGATGGAGATGTCTTTAAACGTTCTGCCCGGTCGAGAGTTTCCCCCAGTGATTTGGAGGCAGTAAAGATCATCGCTACTTGAGGAGCAATCGCAGCAATTACATCATTGGCTATGCCCGCTGGGGGTACGACTTTCTGACAGTTGAGTGGCGGCAGCTTCCGATAGTGCTTCTTGAGTGCAATGGCCACCCAGACCAAGAAGCGAAGACCTACGGTACGTCGCATACACCAATGTTCTCCTCGTCCCCTAGGCTGTATTTCAAATGGTATTTGTTCCTATACTCCATCCCCTTCTACCCCTGGGACTAACTTAAACCATTCTACCAATTTAATTGACAGAACCCGTGACTTCTGCCAGCAGCTATTTACAGGGCATAAAACTAGGTCGTCTTCCTACCGTGTCCCCACCCTCAGAGTTATTATTCATATCTCATATCACCTCGCACAAATAATGCGTTTCTCCTTCGTCGCCGTTGTCGCTGGTTTGACAGCATCCATGTCTGTCAGTGCATGCGAGAAGCGGTTATACATTTGCGAGACGGACAGTGATTGTTGCCCTGGGCTTATCTGTACAGCGAATGTGAGTATGAGTAACTTTGCATCCAGGATCCAATTCCATGACTCACCATTTGCGCCTTGCAACGCTAAAAGGCTTACTGGCGATACTGTGATCGTAAATGATTCTTGATGAGCTGGAAGCTTGAGTGACAGGTCGTGATGTGAGTCATGTTTCTGCTTTTGCTTTAGTGCTGTACTTGATGATGTGACACGTAGTTCATCGTCAAATTACCCAATATAATCAACTTGTTTAAAGACATGCTCCAAGATATATGATTGATCCTATCAAGATATGACCTTTATATGTACTTAACCTTTTCCTTTTTACATACACAATCACTCCTCCTACCATGTGTCATACACGTTCCTCATCGATTCTCCGTCTCAATCAACATATTAATTCCTCTCCTCGTCAAATAATCTCCCTCAGTCTTTCGATCCAAGACTGAGGTGAGCTTTCTCGTTTACGGTTCTACTCTACCCTTTACTAACTACTACCCTACTCAGTCCGTTCCCGTCCTTAGGTATGATCCATAGTTAATACGAGTCTTTCGATCCAAGACTGAGTCCGTTCCCGTCCTTAGTTCCTAGTCCGAGTCTCGTCACCTCTAATAGGTTATGAGCCCTGGCTCAGACTAGGCTTTACATTTGTTTCTCGCTTCCACTTGCCCTAGTACCTGAGCCTCTCTGATCTTTCCCGAACTGGAACGAGGCTGCCCTCTATCACCGCTTGACTTGCGGATCCTATCAATTCCCTTGCTGCCATCACCGCTGTTGACTCCCATTGTTCCAACTCACTCATTACCAAACCCACTTACTTTTCCCACTCTATTGTCACCATCACCAACATGTCATTCTACATCAGTAATGTCTACCATATCGTCGTCTAACATCTGAATTCCAACATCCTTTCCTCACCCTCCTCTTGATGCCAATGGCTCTAACTACACCTCGTGGGTAACATCCATGGACCTTTGGCTCTCACTCTTCAATCTTTGGCGTCTCCTTTCCGGTGATGAGAAGGGCCCTCAGGGCCCAACCAAAAGCACCACTGAGACAGACATCGACTTCAAAAAGCGCCTCGCGACACATGATGTGAGCGCGGACGTCATTTCCTTCCGAGAATGCCAAAGTATAACCAAAGGACTCCTCGGTATGACGGTACATTCAAGTGACCTTATCCATTTCATGGGTGTTGCTGACCCAGCCACCATCTGGAAGGCGCTGGAAGACAAGTATCAGGTGTCTGTCGGCATCTGCTTTACGAGCCTTATGGGCCGTGTTTTTGATCTCCCCAAGGCATCTGATAGCGACTCCCTTACCAAGACCATCAAAGAAATCATGGACATCAAAGCCCAATTCAAGGTCATTGAGTCTGCGGAATGGAAATGCAACAAATATACAGTGGCTCAAAAAACTGTCCACATGTTTGTGCTATTTTCACTATTTACATTATTATATATGAATGGACAGGTAGACCAAGGTTATGCTAGTGGGGTACTCTGTAGTACTCCCTTGGGGCGTGAATTTGAGCCCTTGCCCGTGGGAATCCATGGTAATGTGGTGGCACTATAGGCCTTACAAAATGATGACTCATGTGGACAGTTTTTTGACCCTAGATTAAAATTATATAAATCATTAGTTATGACACCATAAAGTCATACCACTATTAAATAAATTATGAAGTGGTTTCATTATGACATCATTAAACCTATTGCTAAGTATATAATGAAGTGTGTCCCATATATCATAGTCATAATCACCATGAAAACCATCTCCTCTCCTCAAAGGGATAATATCCTTTCTCTGTCTACTACTGGCCTCTCTACTCATCAAATAGCCTCTAGAACTGGTGTATGCAAGTCTACTGTAGCTAAGCTCATCAAAGAATGTCACCCAGACAAGGAAAACTCCAGTGGAGGTTGTCCATCCAAACTCACCTCTACTGATAGGAGGGTCATTATCCAACATATCACCATAGGAAAGGCTGATAATGCTGTCCAAGTCACTCATCATATCAATTCCATCATCCCTACTCCAGTTTCTTCACAAACAGTGAGGAATGTCCTCAAGGAAGCCAATCTTAGGGCTGTAACAAAGAAGAAAAAGCCTCTTCTTTCCATCACTCATAGGAAGAGAAGACTAACCTTTGCCCTAGCCCATCAAAACTGGACTGTAGAGGACTGGAAGCGGGTCATATGGTCTGATGAGACTAAAATCAATAGAATTTGGTCAGATGGGAAGGTATATGTGTGGAAAAAGAAGGGGGGCCCTCTTACAGACAGAGAGATTAATGGAACTCTCAAGTTTGGAGGAGGTTCTCTAATGGTATGGGGATGTATGGGGTGGAATAGTGTGGGAATGCTTGCAGAAGTTGAGGGGAGGATGGATGCTGAGCAGTATGTGGACATCCTCAACCACCACTTGCTGCCTAGCATGGCAGAATCAGGAATTGATGAAGAAGATATTATTTTTCAACAGGATAATGATCCCAAGCATACATGCAGAAGAGCCAGAGAATGGTTTGAAGAGCACAATATTCACCTCCTTGACTGGCCAGCACAATCCCCTGATGTCAATGTCATTGAACATCTCTGGGGAGTACTCAAGAAGAAGCTTTTAGCCTATGAACACCCTCCTAAAGGAGTATGGGAGTTATGGGAGAGAGTTACAGTGGAGTGGGGGAAAATTACAGCAGAGGATTGTCAGAAGTTGATTGAAAGTATGCCTAGAAGGATAGAAGCAGGAATTAAGGCCAAGGGAGGTCACACAAAATACTAGAACAGCTAATTATCTGTGTAAAATACTTGGGTCAAAAAACCGTCCACATGAGTCATCATCTTGTAAGGCCTATAGTGCCACCACATTACCATGGATTCCCACGGGCAAGGGCTCAAATTCACGCCCCAAGGGAGTACTACAGAGTACCCCACTAGCATAACCTTGGTCTATTTGTCCATTCATATACAATAATGTAAATAGTGAAATAGCACAAACATGCGGACAGTTTTTTGAGCCACTGTACCCTTGTTCAAGTGTTACTACGTGCCCTTCCGGATTTCTATGCGCCACTCTCCCAGCTCATACTCCATGGCGCTGACACCAATGCTGGAAAGCTAATGCTGGAAGGTGTAATCAGCCAGGTCAGAAACTTGGAGCAGTACTATGCGAGTTTTGGCTCCGCAAACCTGCATGCACACCACACAGCCATGGCCGCTAGGGTGGCGAAAGCAGGTAAACCTACTGAACGTGCCAAGCCAAAGGATTTTGACGCCTCCAAGGGGGATAAGTGGGAGTTGTCGTGGTGTTCGACATGTGGATCTTGCAAGCGCACAGGCCACATCTGGTACAATTGCCATGCTTGCCTAGCAAAATCGGACTTGCCCAATACATCAGCCTACATTCCTTCCTCACCCTCACAAGGCACTAACATGTCGACTCTCACATCAGAACAACATGACAACATTCCGTCTTTCCTTCGTCTTCCTGTGCACTCTGCCAGTTACTCTAATACGAGCATTATTTACTTCCCATTCCACGTAGACTCTGCTGCCACCACACATATGGAATTTGAACACTCCCTCTTCACTCGTTATAAAACTTATAACCCTCCCTTAATCATGAAACTTGCCAATGATGATACCGTTCTTGCCCCAGGTTGGGGATTCATCACACTAGCACTTGACAATAATGGAAGACATGAGTCCATCGAACTCCCCTTCCTCCATGTACCTGACCTACGGTGTACATTGATATCCGTATCTGCTCTAGCATCGGATGGAATTTTCTTCGAAACGGATGCTGAAGGAGGACAAATGCATTGTGCTGATAGAACTGTGATCACATGTGTGAAATGTTCTGCTGGTCTATACTACCTCCGGGCCAAGCACACCCATATGGCTTTTGCCATCAGGACAGCTTCAGCTGCACCTTTACCACTGGCTGTATGGCATGCACGCATGGGCCATGCTGCAAACTCCACCTTATGCAAGGCTGAGAAGGTTGTAGTAGGACTGTCCCTTGACCTTTCAGACAAGTCCACAGGACCTGGCGACCACATCGACTGCCCGTCATGCCTAATGGGCAAGCAGAAAAAATTGCCGTTCCCGTCTCATGCTCGGCACCGTGCGACACACATTGCGGAACTCATTCATACTGATGTTTGGGGACCCGTCAACACCGCAACACTATCTGGCGAGACATACTTTGTCGCCTTCACAGACGATTTTTCACGTTTCTCGACTATTTACCTCATTAAGCACAAGAGTGAGGTATACTCTCGCCTCCAGTGATACCTTGCCTGGATTGAGAACCAGTCAGGTCAGCGGGTCAAACATCTTCATAGCGATAATGGTGGAGAATATGTCTCCCACGCGACCAT